TATATATATATTATATATATATATATATATATATATATATATATATATATATATATATATATATATATTATATATCATATTTCTTTGCATCTTCTTACTTATACATCAGTTCATGAATGAACGGAAAAACACTCTACCGTGTTGATACTATGGTAGGAAAACCCACAATGCACAAACTAGATTTATTGAAGAAAGTGAGACAAGTTTCGGAATCGTCCTCGATTCCATCTCCGGGTCTGGGTTTTTCAACCACATCTATTCATCTAATCCATCTAACTAGCAACCTGCCTCTCTTTATTCATCCATCCTGAGTTTTTTTTCCCCTCTCTGTATGATTTTCCTCTAAAAGATGTAGAATAAAAATAGTCCCATTACCTTATCAACACCACCATCACTATAATCACCACCACCAGTAACATTATCACCATCAGTATTATAATATTCCCTATTTTTATTCACCTGTCTTATCTCTCCCTTCCACCCAGCTGACAGTTCTCCTGCTGGTGGTGGCGGTGATGCTGGGGCTCACCTACGCCTTCCCCAGCGTTACCCCTGCCAGTCTCCCTGCCAGCGTATCGGCTCTCGACTGCCCCACCTACCCCTTCTTCCCCTGCACTCCCCCTGCTCAGCCTGCTCAACCTGCTAACCCTGCTGGAGTCACCTGCTACAACTTCCCCTTCTACCCCTGTTAGAGCAGTGCATGCGTGACGTGTGGAAAGGGAGGGGGGGGGGGGACAAGGCATCTGCGCCGCGTGTTCTTCTTCTGTCTTGGTCACTGTGTTGGCTTCGTGTTTTGTGCGTGTTTTGTTGGTTCCCGGATGCCATCGCAAGTGTCTTCTCGTGGAGGCTATAAAAGGATAAAAACAAATACAAAAACAAAAACAAAACAAAAAAAACTAAATGACATAGAATAACAGGTAACGATCAAAAAATAAAAACGTTTTTTCTTTCTTTCTTCTTATACTCGAGGTCCCTTCTTATCTTCCGACCATTGTGTTATAATCAGTTCGTTGCTGTGATATTTTTTTTTTTTTTTTAAATGGAAAATTTTCCCTATGTTTTGTTACTTACATAAAAAAAATCTTTACTCCTTCGTCTGATTACCCCTTGATTTCAGAATATATTTTGTGTCTCAACCTTTTTTACCGTAATAAGGCAAATGATTAGTGAACAGCTCACACTAATACATGTATTGTATACAGCGACGCTATGATACCTACTACATGTAAGTACAGGGTAAAGTTCCGATTTTATATATTCCTTGGATTAAATCAAATATTCGCATAAATACATTACAGATGCTGGTAATGTCAATAATGACATCGACAGTAGTTATGATAATCATAAAAATGATGATGATAATGATAAGGATGAAAATAATAGCAACAGTAACGACAGTGGTTGTAGTAATGATAATGATGATGATAATGATAGTATTACTAACAACAACAACAACATCAAGGATGATAATGATGATTATGCTAGTAATAATAATAATAAGGATAACTGG